TACCCAAGGATTTGCCATTATCAGTAACCAATTTGGATTTCATGGATGGACCTCAAAGGATTTAAGAATTCTCTCAAATTGTATGCAGTCTTTTAAAGAAATGGGATCTCACTCTTTTGCTCAGCCTGGACTACAGTGGGACAATCATAGCTCACTGCAGCCTCAAACCCCAGGGCTCAAGTGATCCTCCCACCTCAGCCTCCTGAGTAGCTGGGACTATAGGTGTGTGCCACCATGGCTAATTTGTTCTAAAATTTTTTTAAAGATAGGGTCTTGTTATGTTGCCCAGGCTGGCCTCAAACTCCTGACCTCAAGTGATCCTCTCTCCTTAGTCTCCTGTATACAAATTTTTTATACATGTGCATTTTTTCTGGGGAGGGCCATTAGACTATTCTGTGGAAAGAAAGTGAGAAATAGAATGAGAGAATATGACATTTTAAATCAGTTCTACTGCTTTCTCCTTCTTCCATACCTGCCCTTTGCTATTTAGTTCACTAAACCAGGTACTGATCTCTGAGTAGTGAGGGGGCATGTAAAACATTAAGAAAAAAAAAAAGTCCCAGCAGTCAGTACAGCAGCCAGAGATCAGAGGCTCCCTGATATCAGATGTAGGCTTTAATGTCCAAGAGCTCAGGAGAAAGCTGGGGCATCAGCAGGGGTAGGCAGGTGACCTTCGGAGGCCTCTAGGCCCATTTATTCATGTGCTTCCAGAGGACTTGAGGGGTATGAAAACTTAACTGGCAAAAAATCTATAGTCAGCTAGTGAGTCGTCCCTAGAAAAAGGTTAACAACATTCTTCCAACTAGCCTTCCACACTCTGCCTCTTTGTTCTCTAGTTCTTTCTCCGTGCTACCACAACAGTTAGCTTTTAAACATATATCTCATTGTGCACCTTCTGTGATTAATCACCTATACCTAAAAGATGATTAGATCAATCACCTAAAAACATAGGGTTTTAATCACCTATGAAACAAGTTAAAAACTCATGGGCATGGTTCAAGGCCTGCCAGTTAGGAACCTGCCAGCCTCATCTCCAGGCACTGCCCTGTCCTCACTCCAATGCTCTGGCCACAACAGGTTACTACTGGCTGTTCTGAGACAACAGCATGTATGTCCGTACTCCTATGCCTTTGGTCATGCTGGTTTCTTTCTTTGGGGTGCCATTTCCTCTCCATGGCCCAACCATGAACCTCCTACTCATCTTTCCAGGCCTAGATTGAATGTTACCTCTTCTCCTGTGTCTGTCCCTAATTTTCTGCCATCACCTTGGCAGAATCAGTCTCTTTTGGCTAGATTCCAAAAACATTTCATACATATCTCTGATGATGTCATATAATATTGTAGATAGCCTATTTTTATTTGTCTTTCCTCCTAAGCCAGGAATGCCCTACAGGTAGAGACTATCTTTTTCATGTTTGTATCCCTAGCATCTACCTTGGCACCTAGTCTAAACAGGAACTTAATACACTTTTGTTGAATGGAATTAGTTATAAAGAGTTTTTATGACTCATTTAAAATTAGAGACCAATGCTTATTTAATAAGTCAAAATAGGTTATAATAATAATAGTAATAACAAAGTCCCATTTCCACTGCTTATTCAAGTAACTAACTTCCTTTGTGGATGTGGATTTTGAAAGTCTTTACATGTCCGTGTATTTTTATGATGTGCTTATTTGAAATCCTAAAAGAATTATAGTTCTAATGCAGACTAGAGCTCCTATGACATTCCTATTGTTGTTATATTGAATATATTCTATCACTTCAGAAATCTATGTTATATATAGTAAGCTCCATGGATATGTATTTTATCTCTTTTCCTCTTAACCTTTATGGTAGATAATATTTTGTGAATTGTTTATTTTATAAGAGCTGAGCAAATTTAATTCAAAATACATTAAATTGAGTATTTTCCTTGTATAAAACCAGAGTTACAAAGTTAAGATTCTAGTGTTTATATATTATTTAGTTTGTTTTGCTAAATTTGCAAAGTCTCAGTTATTGCAAATATGTTTTTTTGGTATTTATTATTAGTTCACGTATGAAAGTAATCATTGTTCCATAAATTAAACTTCAAATAATTTTTAAAAATGGTCTTCTCTCCCTTATATTCTTTCAGTTTTGTGAGAAAGACATCAACAATGTATTGCTTACGTACTAGGTGCAAGGCGTTATGCTGGGTGTTTTTAATTCAGGCTTAATGAGACAGTACTTGCCCTTGGATAGTTCATAGTCTAATAAGGTACGTAAACAAATAGTTGCAATGTAAACCTTGGAGACAAGGAAGGAAAACTCCTGCTACGAGAAATGGGGTTGGGGTTGAGAATGAATACGTCTGCTGATCAGTTTACAGATAGAGAAGCAGAGAGCTGAAGGGAGTTCATACCTGATAGTTTTTTGTGTTTGTTTTTAAATATGTGAAGTAGAAATCTAGGTCATCTTTAAGAATTCATGGCATGGGGTAGCTCTTGAGAAGAGAAGGGCAATGAAGATCTGGATAATTAAGAAGGAGAATTAGAGCTGAGCTAACAAAGACAAGTGTTGAGAAAGTGTATGCAGTGTTGAGAAAGCAGTGAGAGGAGGCCTGAAATTGGATAGCATGCAGTTGTGGCAATATCAGTGAGCACAGTGGTGTAATTTTCTCCAACTGTGCTCTGTGGCCAATGTACAGGTGCAATAAAGCCATATTGTGGTGAGGGCACAAGGGATGGTTATAACAGAAGTATAAAAAGGCCAGGGTGTTAAGAATCCTTCAAAGAAAATATGGCTTTCTACAGAAGGAAGTGTGGTTAAGAGGAAATTGGTAAACTTGGAGAAATTCAAGAAATTGAAAATGAGGATAAGGCCTGATACTTTGTAGGCATTCGGCAAATCTTCATTTTCTCCTTTCTGGTTCTCCTCTTCTGGCCTGTTTCACTACCACCGCCACCACCTGCCTCTGCTATGGTTTATACATATGAAAATTTCAAATCATGGTGGTAATAGTTGGTGTGGAAGGTAAGAATAGGAGCCAGATTCCAAAGTCCTCATCCAGTGTGTCCCTGGGACTTAGATGCTGGCAGTGCTTGGTGGTTTGGCCTCCAGGAGAAGCTCAAGGCTTATCTCCTTGTCTCCCTGCTACCCATGCTTGAAGGATGGGTCAAGAGCCAAAGACATTTTATTTGGCCATGGTTCTTAGGGCTGGGATTTACTCTGTGATGAGAAGGGTTAAGACTCTAAGCCTTCAAGGCTTATTTCCTTTTATCTTTATGGATAAAAGGAAGGGTCTTCCTTCTCAGAATCTAAAGTTTCTAGTAGAGTTGTTCATATCTTGTGATTTATTTCATGTGAGTTATCAAATGTATTATACTTTTTTCTTAAAGATATACTTTTTTTTGAGACAGACTCACTCTCTCACCTCAGCTAGAATGTAGTGGTGTCATCATAGCTCATTGCAACCTCAGATTCTTGGACTCAGGCGATCAATCCTCATGCCTCAGTAGCTGGGACTACATGCATACATCACTGCGCCCAGCTAATTTTTCTATTTTTAGCAGAGACAGGTTCTTGCCTTTGCTCAGGCTGGTCTTGGACTCCTGAACTCAAGCAATCCTCCTGCCTCGGCCTCCCAGAGTGCTAAGATTACAGGAAGATATACTTTTTTTTTTGTGAGACGGAGTCTCGCTTTGTTGCCCAGGCTAGAGTGAGTGCCGTGGCGTCAGCCTAGCTCACAGCAACCTCAATCTCCTGGGCTCAAGCGATCCTCCTGCCTCAGCCTCCCATGTAGCTGGGACTACAGGCATTCGCCACCATGCCCGGCTCATTTTTTCTATATATATATATTAGTTGGCCAATTAATTTCTTTCTATTTATAGTAGAGACGGGGTCTCGCTCTTGCTCAGGCTGGTTTCAAACTCCTGACCTCAAGCAATCCGCCCGCCTCGGCCTCCCAGAGTGCTAGGATTACAGGTGTGAGCCACCGCGGCCGGCCGGGAAGATATACTTTTTAATGCTTTCATTTTAAATAAGGACAAACCATTTTCTATGGAAACATACTGTTAATATTGCATTTTTCAGGAGTTTTCTTTTTCATCCATAGTTATGAATGTGATACTGAAATGTAATCATCCATTGTTTCAGAATGCTTTTTGGGGTATAGTATAAAGAAAAAAACTCATCAGAAAGGAGCCATATGTCTTAACTAGGAGACTGCTAGAAAAGGGAGGGTCCCTAATGTGAGGAAACAGAAACCTCAGGTCATCTTCATCTTAAGAAATGGAGTAAGCGATTACATAGAATTGGCTAAAGAAATCCTCAGGAGTCTAGATCATCAATTTTGCTAGTTTGGATTGTTAATGGTACCTTTAAGGCATTTAGCTATGATTACCTAGAAAAAATTGGATACTACTCTTGAAACAATTTCTTCATGTGGGATGTTCTAAAGAAGCTCACACTTCACCTCTTATTAGTCACATGGAGTAATACATTCAGCTTTATCCACAAAGTCTGTGACATTGATCGGGATCCTTTGTATTCCTACATACCCATCTAACTCAGACAGATTTGCCCTTTTTTCCAGTGCTCATACTGACACATAGACCTGTTATTCTATGACTAACATATAGTTTCTAGAGCCTATGTATTGTAATAGTTTTGTTTTGGGTTAGGTTTGCCTAAAAACAAATCTTTTTTCCTCTGACCTTAAAGTAAGGGATAATGAAAATAAGTAATATTTCCTAATTAGACATTTTGAGAGCTAAAAGTGTTTGTTTTAAATGATAGCTCAAATATGCTTTTGCAAAGACCTTTAACCAGCAACTTTTTCCCTCTCAGACATTAATACTGATAATAAACATGAATTGTTTATTCATGTTCATGGCATGTGGATATTAATATATATAAATGGTTTCATGGCATCACTGTTTTTTCTAAAGTGCATATGAAGAAGAAAGAAAACTTTCCTTTAGAGTCTTACTTGGATTTTACTTAGTTGACATAAGACTGTTTTACTTCTTCTTTTCAGGTTGTAAACATGTTAAAGGCATCCTGTTGTATGGACCTCCAGGTTGTGGTAAGACTCTCTTGGCTCGACAGATTGGCAAGATGTTGAATGCAAGAGAGCCCAAGGTGGTCAATGGGCCAGAAATCCTTAACAAATATGTGGGAGAATCAGAAGCTAATATTCGTAAACTCTTTGCTGATGCTGAAGAGGAGCAGAGGAGGGTAATGTGAACATAAATATAATTTAGTAAAAGTTTGTTATCACTTATATGATGAGTGAGACCCAGAGTTATGGAGGCAAACTTGTTTATACTTTGACCTATATTTTGGAACAACTTGCAGGTAAATTTTATTTGGTTTATATATGGCGGTGCACTTGGGATTGTGGGGAATGTATATGATGTGAGGAGATGTCATTACCCACATGTTCATAATACAAGGATAGATGATTATACAAACCAAAAGTTTTAAAAAACAGATCATGAATATATTTTCAGACAACACTTTTATTCCCTATCACTTCCAGAGACATGAATTCACTTATCCTTTAGAAAAGCCAGTTCTGGAGGGAGCTGCTGAAAAGCTAAGCAACCCCTTTGACAGGCTAGTGATAGTAAAGGGAGCAGAGATCAGAGCCCATGGCCCCCAAAGAGAGGATACCTGATAAGCATACCTCATTTTGAGTCAGGACCCTGAAGAGCTATACCATAGGAGCAAGAGTTAACCAGGAGTGTACATACTCTCACAGAGGCTGCGGATCATGTCAATCTCTAAAATTAGTTTGAGGGTTCCTAAATTGCTAGTGTCTCCAGGCATCTGTCAGAATCATAAATCCTTCCTGGAGGAAGTTAATATCATGGAAGATCACAAATTATTTCTACAGTTTCAAATCAGTGTCTGGCTTATAATCAAAATCAGCTGGCTCCACAAAGACACAAACTATAAAGAAAAAGAAACAAAAGATGATATAAACAGGACCTCCAGATATTGGAATTCTCGTACAGAGACTTGAAATAACTAACTTATCATGTTCAAGGAGATAAAAGACAAGACTGAGAATTTCAGCAGAACACAAGAAACTATAAAAACAATAAACAAATGGAAATTCTGGAAATGAGAAAATCAGTAAGGGAAATAACTCAAGTGAATGTGTTTCAGATTAGACACATCTGAAGAGAGCATTAGTAAACTGAAAGATGTAAGATGAAAATAACCAGAGACAATGAATGAAAGGAATGAAGAAAGAGTAAGGCAGAGAAAAAATACCATGAGAAGGTCTGACACATATATTTAAAGTTCCAGAAAAGCAAGAGAAAAAGGATGGGACAAAAGAGGTATTTGAAGAGAAAATGGTTTAGAACTTTAAATTGATGAAGAACATTAGTCCATAAATTTCAGGAGTGATATGAACCAAAGGAGAAATATCAAAGTCTACATCTATAGACATCATTGTTAAACTGCTGAAAATCAAAAACAAGAGAAAAATCTTAAAAGTGGCCAGAGAACAAAGAAAGATTACCTTTAAATAAGCAACACTTAGCTAGCAACTGTCTTCTCAACAGAAATGGTGGAAACACGAAGTCTGTTGAATACCATTTTTAAGGGGCTGAAAGAAAATAATTGTCAACTTAGAATTTTATATCTAGTAAATGGATGAAGTATCATATAACTATAACTATACAATGGACTATTAGTAATGAAAATAAATAGTTGTGAGCTGGGCGCGGTGGCTCACACCTGTAATCCTAGCACTCTGGGAGGCCGAGGCAGGCAGATTGCTTGAGGTCAGGAGTTCAAAACCAGCCTGACAAGAGTGAGACCCCGTCTCTACTACAAATAGAAAGAAATTGGCCAACTAACATATATATAGAAAAAATTAGCCAGGCATGGTGGCACATGCCTGTAGTCCCAGCTACTCAGGAGGCTGAGGCAGGAGGATCGCTTGAACCCAGGAGATTGAGGTTGCTGTGAGCTAGGCTGACGCCTCGGCACTTACTCTAGCCTGGGCAACAGAGTGAGACTCTGTCTCAAAAAATAGATAGATAGATAGATAGATAGATAGATAGATAGATAGATAGATAGATAGATAGTTAGTTGTGAATCTCATAAATGTTACACAAAAGAAACAAGGTAAAAAAAAAAAAAAGAATATAGTCTGGGACTGCTGGCTCATGCCTATAGTCCCAGCAACTTGGGAGATTGAGGCAGGCAGATCACTTAAGCCCAGAAGTTTCAGGCTGCAGTAAGTTATGATTATGCCACTGTACTCCAGCCTGGACAACAGAGTGAGACCCTGTCTCAAAAAATGAATGAGTGAATGAATGTTAGATGCAGTGGCTTATACCTGTAATCCTAGCTATTTAATACTTGGGAGGCTTTAGGCAAGAGGAACACTTGAGCCTGGGTGACAGGAAGACATTGTCTCTTTAAAAAAAAAAAAAAAGTACATACTGTATGTATTTATATAAAGCTCAACTAAAATATAGTGTTTAAGGAAAAAAATAATTGCCACAAAAATCAGATTGTAGTTACCTGTGGGGAAAGGTTGGGGAAGAGTGCTTGGTTGAGAAGAGGTGTTCTCAGGGTGCTGGCAACATTCTGTTTCTTGTTATGGATTCATGGATGTTCATTTTGTGACAATTCAATAAGGAATATATTCACATTTTATGAACTTTTGTCTGTGCGTAACATATTTTGCAATTAAAAAGTGCAAAAAAAGATAAATTTTAGTAAGCATTCACTGTATAAAATACCAACAATAATGATTAATATGGTGTGTTTTTTTTTTTAAAGGATAGAACTAAGATATGGGCCAAAGCATTTGGGAAGTAAATTAAATCCATGTAAGATCCTTGTATTATTTGGGAAGAAGATAATAATATCAACTAACATGAAACTTTAAGTAAAATGTGCATGTGAAAATTGTATAAAACTCTCAAACTTTTCCAAAGCACTGGGGAGCTGAGAAGGAAACAAAGAAAACTCAGATACTTTAGAAAAGCAAAACAGGAATAACAAGACTCAAAGAAAATGTAACGATACTGAAAAACATAACTTTAAAAAATTTTTCATTTACGACAGCAATCACAATATAAAGTTCCAAAGATTAACTCTAACAGGAAATGTACAAGACTTTTAAGGAGAAAATTATAAATGTTTTTGAAAATCTTTTTTTAAAGAGCTAATAAGAGATATAAGATATTCATATATAGGAATACTGATAATATAAAAATGACAGTTATGCCCATATTAATCTATAACTTGAATGCATTTCCAATAAGTGTAACAGGAATTTTTTGATATTTGACAGCTTGATTCTATGTTGTTTTTTTTTTTTAGCCAAAAAAGTCCCAGCTACATGGGACTACCGGCATGTGCCACCATGCCTGGCTAATTTTTTTATTTCTTGTAGAGACATGGTCTCACTATTGCCCAGACTGGTCTTGAACTCCTGGGCTCAAGCAGTCCTCCTGCCTCAACCTCCCAAAGTGCTATGATTACAGGCGTGAGCCACCATGGCTAGCTTAAAAAAATTTTAAATATTGCCTTTATATTAACCCTTTTAATGCTTTAACTCTGCTTGTTGGGTGCTTGATTGTTCCAATTTTAGACAACCTGGTTTTCTTCCCAACATTCCAGGAGAGAAGGAAGTAAGTTCTTGTTCATGTTCAAGACTCTAACTTTCTCAGCTTCATTGGTTCCAGCAGAAATGGGTCTTGGTGGGTTGATGCAAGTCCAATAACTGATTTCAGCTCTTCAGAGAGTCCCAGAACTAGTTCAGTTTTACAATTTATCTGTAATACTACAATTTTTTTCTGCTTCAAATATCTTTTTAACCCTCAGTATACCAAGAAAAATAGTCACCACCATTCACCAACCCAGTTGAATAAACTCCTTTTAAAAAATTATTTTTACGTTTTTTTCCAAATAATTTACAAACATAAGAATAAAGGCTTGCTGAAAAACTATTAAAATATTAAATAAGAATTTAAATATAGCAAACTAAATTTTTACTCCATTTTTTCCTGACATTTACAGGTTGAGTATCCTTTACTTGAAATGCTTGGAACCAGAAGTGTTTGGAATTTTCAGTTTTTGGAATATTTGCATGTACATAATAAGATATCTTGGGGATGGGACCCACGTCTAAACATGAAATCCATTTATGTTTCATATACACCATATACACATAGACTGAAGATAATTTTATACATTATTTTTAATAATCTTGTTAATGAAGCAAGGTTAGTGTACATTCAACCACCAGAAAGCAAAAGTGTAAGTATCTCAGACACCCCATATGGACAGTCTGTGGTTGTTTGGCATCACCATCATTTCTAACTCTGAGTTTACAAGCTACCAATAAGTAATCATTTTCTTATAGTTATTCACACATAAGTACTTAACAGTAAAACATATGACACACCATCAATACAATGAAAAATAATGTATTCGAGGAACTAAGCAGCACAATATAATTACCAGAATACCTGTAACAGCTGTTACACAATAGCAACACCAAACAACAACAGGCTTTCCATTGCCACCTACAATGTTGTGTTTTGATTAAAAGATCACTGTTTAGTAACTCCCTTCAGGACACTGAATAAATGGTGTTATGCACCTTTCAGATTTTGGAGCCTTTTGGATTTTGGATTTTTGGATTAGGGATGTTCAACCTGTATACCAAAATGGGCAGGAGCCTCTGAATACAACCAACTGGTGATCAGTTGTCCTGCATGAACTTGTAAATACTGATTCTAAATTTCAAATACATCTCTAACAGGTTCTAGATTATCATTATTTCTGGTTCTTCTTCTTGTACTTACATTTTCAAAGCATAATACTTCAAGAATTTTTTGGAAATCATTGCCTCATAAATATGTTTAAGAGAGGATGGCCATCATATATTCCATAATTGTAAAATATTTTCATTTTTAGATTTGTGGACAGCTTTCAGAATGTTCAGTCTAATTTTTTAAATGTCTACTTCATCTATTTCTTCTGGTCACCTCTCTATGTAATACCTTCCTTCACTATCTCTCTGTTTACAAACTATATTAAGAAAATTTTGGCTGGGCATGGTGGCTCACACCTGTAATCTTAGCACTCTGGGAGGCCGAGGCAGGAGGATCGCTCAAGGTCAAGAGTTTGAGACTAGTTTGAGCAAGAGCGAGACCCCATCTCTACTAAAAATAGAAAGAAATTAATTGGCCAACTAAATATATAGAAAAGATTAGCCGGGCATGGTGTTGCATGCCTATAATCCCAGCTACTCGGGAGGCTGAGGCAGAAGGATTGCTTGAGCCCAAGAGTTTGAGGTTGCTGTGAGCTAGGCTGATGCCACAGCACTCTAGCCTGGGCAACTGAGTAAGACTCTGTCTCAAAAAAAAAAAGGAAAATTTTGGTGCACAAATGACATAAAAGATGAAAGAATACTGTCACGTGTCCTTTTAGCAAAATGGGATGGTCTATTTTCTTGTCACAAAATATTACACAGTGAAGACTTTCTGTTGAATAAGTTCTTTTTGTCCTTAGATTAGAAATATATTGTTTACTCATTGATGCTTGAGTTTGAGAAATATACAGAATAGCACCAGCTGAAGGCACATAGTCTGAGATTTTACTTTATTTTTTTATTTTTATTTTTTTAATTTCAGCATATTATGGGGGTACAAGTGTTTAGGTTACATGTGTTGCCTTCCTCCTCCACCACCACCACCCCCCCCAGTCAGAGCTTCAAGCATGTCCATCCCCCAGATGGTGTGAGATTTTACTTTAAATGATTAATTTCACCATCTTCATTAGTGTCTCAAGTGCTGCTATCTCACTCTTTGAATTCATCTTCTGACTCATCTAATAATTGGAAAACATCTTCCTCTGTTGTTTTGCTTTGCCATTCTGACCAGACAATTATCAGAATTCTCAATTGTGTTCAATAAAAGCTAAAATCAGGCCACAAAGATGTTATCTCCAGGCTTCTTTTATACCTTCTTGAAAGATGATGCAGTGCTTTGGGCAGCACAATAAGAAAACTGAAGAATGATGTCATTCTGATATTTATTTCATTGTTGCATCATTCTTCTATATTATTATTTTAATCTTTTTTAGCATAGTTTGGAATAATTGATGAATAATGATGACATAATTTCTAGGGTGATGAAAATAGCATAGTGTGTCTTACAAAAAAAGATCCAGTGGATCCATATAGTAATTGTAAAATAGAATTAGTTTTTTTTTTTTTTTGGAAATAAGATATTTAATAAATAAGAATTAGTTTTATTCTATTCTTAAAAGTATATTTTCCTTTTGGTTCTTTGGAAGACTTTTAAAAAGGAATAAGAGTCATGAGATATCAATCTTTATAAATACTTATAACTGCTCAAAAAAAAGTCCTCAAAAACTGACAGTTGGTTCCAATGGACCCTGATGATATAGCAAGGATTAAGCACTAGGCATAGATGAGTTAAAATGTCATGTAAAGAAGCATTTTATAAAATCTCAGTTGTGATAGTCTCCATATGACTGCACAGGTAACTTTATTGCTGTTTTTAAACTTGCAGGCAGTTTTAAAATTATACTACTAATGACAAACCAAGTTGGCAAAGAATTTCTAGATATATATTAGTCATAGCCAGCATTTTCAGTTATGCTTGTCTCAATCTTTACATGGTATACTTAGCTAACGACCCCATGGAGGGTATATGTGTGTTACGTACTAAAGGAAAGCATCACCTCTGTAATTCTGGACAGTCCAGGCTGATGGAGATGAACACTTGCATATAGGTCAGACTAGTTAAATATAGAACAGCCGCTTTCGAAAGCTGTTGCCAGGGGCTCAACAGCATCAGCTCTGTTTCTATGGAGAAAGACTTTGCAGGTGGTAAAAACAGCTAGAAACCAATGAATTGATGAGGATTGCATTGTGGAAACTTAAATCCTTTGGTAAAAAGGTTATTGATGATTCAATATATTAATCTGTGAATATTAATCTTGACATCTTCCTTACCTGATTCCTAATTTACTGCAATAAGAACTTGCCTTTATTTAAGAAATACACCTGTAAAAATTGATGTTATTGTACTGACTAGGTTGGGGGAAGGGACCTGATGACAGGTAACAAGATTAGTAAGGTTCTGAAAAGGTCAGAATTGTACTAAATTATGTTTAGGACAGGATCACCCTCTGATCATTTAATCAAACACAGTGTTCTTATTGTCTTTGTCCCTGTCCACATAGGTGATTTCTGAGGTTGGACTGAGAAGGAAGTCATGATGCCAGCAGCAACATAAAGCACATTGACAGCAAAATTCATACATTATAGAAGCTTTTTGTTTCATGCTATATTGGGCAGACAACTTTGAATTTAAAAAAATAATGTAAAATCTCACAGTTTTTCAGTCACAAACAGAAGTATTCTTGTTTTACACTGAAGATGGCCAGAATTAATATACAGCAGTGCTTTGGTAAAGCTAAGGTTGTACTTATAATTCTTCATTCCCAGTTTTTTGTATAGATGGAAAGATGAACAGTTTGGTATTGAATTTTTTTATAAGAAGAAAGCTGTCATATCATTAGACATCTGTTCAGTAAGTGAGATGGATATTGAGAAATGAAGTTGATTTTTTTTAGATTTGAAATTAAGTTTTAAAATATTTGTGGAAGAAGAACAATTTGTAAGTAATGGTCAGGAAAAAAAATAAAACCTAGTTAAATTTTAGAAACTTTGATAGACATGTAACTATCATGTATAGAATTGCATTAAAGAATGAATAGTACTCTGAATATGAATAATGGAATTTATTCTATTATTCTGGCTTATAATTATTATTATCATGCAATAAAATTTTGTTTTTCTCTTCTGGTGTAACTTTTATGAATTTTTTTTTTTTTTTTGGTAGAGACAAGGCCTCACTATGTTACCCAGGCCAGTCTTGTACTCCTGGACTTAAGTCATCCCCTCCCCTCATCTTAGCCTCCCAAAGTGCTCAGATTACAGGCATAAGCCACCACGCCTGGCCACCTTTATGGATTTTAACACTTCTATAGATTCATGAAACTACCACCAAAATCAGGATACAGAACGTTTACATTACCCCCCCAAAAAAATTCCTTTATGCTGTCCCTTTATGATCACCCTTCTCTTGCCAATAACCCCTGGTAACTACTGATCTGTTCTCCATCTTTGTAGTTGTGTCTTTTTGAGAATGTCCTATAAATGGAGTCATTACAGTATATAACCTTTTGAGACTGGCTTCCTTCACTCAGCATAATGTCTTTGAGATTCATCCAAGTTGTTGCATGTATCAGACACCCGGCTTTATTTTATTTTAAAATTTTATTTCTATTTTATTTTGCAACTCTTTGTTCTCTTAAAGTGAATAAGCCTCTTATTAAAAAAATTATATCCTTATCAGAGATTTAATGGATGCTAACCATACTTGATCTCATTATGGTCATCATTTAATTTTTTTTATCCATATGTTGTCATATTTAGGTTACGTTCATTTTCACATGTTTTGTTGATCACTAATTTTTTTTGTTTAAAAAGAAAAAGAAAATTTCTAGAGTTTACTCTGTCCCTAACAGACTTAATTACTTTAATATAAATTATTAGAAGGTCCTTGTTAAATTAACCTAATGAATTATTAGCATTCGAAGGTGTTTACATCTGTCAAAGGTTCAACATATATAAACTAATTTATTTTAATGATGGCTCTATTTCCAATATGCTAAAACAGAAATCACTATGCAGAAGAAGCACACTCTCTTTACCAAGTTCGTTTTACCAATTGTGTCTCTATTCTCACTTTATTGTTAGGGAAAAGTAATCAGTTTATGTGTGATATAAGTGAATATGAATCATGTTTAGTTTCTTCATCCATCTACCCAATTCCCAGGCATCCTATGGGTAGAGTTAATCTTGAGCTATATAATGTGATAAAACAAACATTAAACCTACTGCTTCTGGGACAGTCTTCTCACCAAAAATCAGGGAGGGAAAATGGGAGAGAATTGCACTCACTGCCTTAACAAATATGTCTGACAAATATGAGTTCTTTCAAATAATGAGATAAGAAATGTATATAAATTAATAGTTATTTGATAATTCACTTTCTATATATACACATTATATATCAGTATATAATGCATATTTTGTTTTATGGCTATTAAATATGAGGTTCCTGAATGCATTTTCAGATTGCAGAATTCTGAGATTGCAGTTCCAACACCGTTGAGTGGGCAACAACCACTTGCTATATTTATTAGTCAAAATGAAGAGAACTCAATCTGTTGGAAGCTTTGTTTTGCTTTTTTGATTTGTCTAATAATACATTCAAATTATGACCTTTAATATAATTTCTTCCCTTAATAGCTTGGTGCTAACAGTGGTTTGCATATCATCATCTTTGATGAAATTGATGCCATCTGCAAACAGAGAGGGAGCATGGCTGGTAGCACAGGAGTTCATGACACTGTCGTCAACCAGTTGCTGTCCAAAATTGATGGGGTAGAGCAGCTGAACAACATCCTAGTCATTGGTATGTTTACTTTTTTAAACAAAGTACTATTCTTTCAAAAACATTAGATATATAGGTTTTGCATTGAGATCTATGGAGGTTGTAATTATACTATTTTGCCAATGTTTCTAAATTAGGATCAAGTTATATTGAAGAATTTGACTATTTTAATGCCTGAGCTTAATAGGAAAAATAAAAGATGGGTTTTAGTAACTTGCAGGTTTAAGCTTATAGCTCACCTACAGATGAGAAAGACAGCATGATGTAACCGTGGTGGTTTTCAGACTGAGTCCTATAGGCTTCCAAAAGTCCTCAGCGGTGCTTCGGGGTCAGGGAGGGCCAGGGAGCGAGCTTCAGATCCTACATCATCATTATAACTTCTTATTTAACTGTTTTATGTACTGAGCTGCTTCTTAAGATGACTTTTGGGGAAAAAAACTGCTATTTTATGAAGGCTGAAAACCACTAGCCTACAAAAAAGGAAAGGGACTTTGGAGTTAGGGAGATCATATTCACATTGCCTCTCTGTCACTCCGACAGAGTACTTACTTTCTCTGAACTTTAAATTTTCTTTTTAAATATTGGAAATTTTCATTACATTTATATTCTGTTGACTTGTACAATAGTGAAATACTAACGCAGAGTCTCAGGTATTTTTATTAGAACAGATCAAAAACAAATGCTATTTTTGAGAATAATTTGGTTTTCTATCTAACTTTTGTAGAACGTCCTCTTAGCTTGTTAGGTAAATTGTTATTCTTACATATATTAAAGGGCTATTTTATTTTAATTTTGAACTCAGATAATTTTTTTGTTGTTTTGTTTTAACATCTGTGTTCAGGAATGACCAATAGACCAGATCTGATAGATGAGGCTCTCCTTCGACCTGGAAGACTGGAAGTTAAAATGGAGATAGGTAAGCAGATCTGCCACTGATCAGTATGGGTGGGGTGTGGCATTTAGGGTTTATTAGCAGGAACAATTTTATATGACTCAGTGTTTGTTAGAAATGTTTTATATCGTGAGGAGCAGATGTTTACATGCTTCAGTACCTATAAGAAAAGCATTAGGATAATAATACTCTCCTCTGATGATGTTTTCGAGACTAGAAAAATGTCTGTTTTATTTTTAATTTTAATTTTATCAGGTTTGCCAGATGAAAAAGGTCGACTACAGATCTTGCATATCCACACAGCAAGGATGAGAGGGCATCAGTTACTCTCTGCTGATGTAGACATCAAAGAACTTGCCGTAGAGACCAAGAACTTCAGTGGTGCTGAACTGGAGGGTCTAGTGCGAGCAGCACAGTCCACTGCTATGAACAGACACATAAAGGTCAGGAAAATCAAATAAATAAAGAGTTTACAGCCCTATGAATACCATGCCAGTATTCTTTCTCTTTCCTTTCAAGCATGCCAACGGCTAGAGTAATACTGACTTTTGATGGTTGAGAGATGGTAAAAGGAATAAGAATTAATTGTCAACTGCTAAATCTTCAGAGTAGCAAGAAGAAAAATAACATTAGCATCTGTCCTATGGTAATCATGGACTCATCTACCTCATGTTGTCACTAGCTGACACAGACATGTAAGGGGAAGATTTTTAAAGAAGTGTTTTTTTAATCTTTGTACTGTATTAAGTTGTAACATGTCATAGGAAGTTGGATTTTCTATGTACTAGAATTATAAGGCTGCCTCATTCAGCAAATGTACTGAATACTTGATTTTTTTTTGAAAGAGACACAAAGATAATCGTGACCTCTTCTCTCAAGGAATTCAGAGTCGGGAAATGGACATGTTTTCAAATTAGTATAAAAATTTTATAATTACTATGGCAGAAGTATGTACCAAGGATACATACTTGATCTTTTACCGTCTCTCCTCTTCAGGTTTTACTTATCACCTGTAAATAAATAACTCCTAGATTTATATCTCATCTCTTAAAAGTGTCTGATTCATACTAAATACCCCCACCTGGATGTTTTATCAGGTCTCAAATTTAATATTCCATAACCAAATTCACTGACTTTTACTACTTTCCTTCCTACTCCTATTTCCCATTTACCCCAATTTCCCAGGCTTAAAACTTCAGGATTATCTTTGATTTCTGCCATTCTACTGTGTCCTACATCAAGTCATTTGCCACATTTTGTCAATTCCATCTTGGCAGTATCTTTCAGTTCTCACTGCCACTACCCATGTTGATTAGCCTTCCTGTTTCATATCATTCTACCATTCAGACGTTTTCAATGACTCTCCAATGTCTACAGAACAAAGTATAGCTTCACCTGGTCTTTCAGGTCCTCTAGATCTGACCCTAACTGGCCTTTCCAGATGTATTTCCAATGATTCTACATACACTTTAGCCAAACTGAAATACTCACCAGTCATCAGACATTAATTTATTTTTCAGTTTCTCTGCTTTTGGTGTGGTGGTTTGTTTGTTTTTGCTTGATTGAGGATGTTTATGTTTGATGTTATTTGTCTTTTCATTACCCACCTCATGTGCTACTGCTTTCTTCAAGCCTTTTCTGATTTTCCCTTTTAAGAATGATGTGCTCTTTTCCTTCTTGAAATAGTAATGTATCATATATGGAACCTTTGGTTGACTTTGGTTCAGAATAGATTTATTTAGCACCTATTGTATGCAGACACTATGCTAGGAGTTAATACACAACTGCAAAGAAGTAAATTACCTGCCATTAAGCAACTCACAGTCTAATCTTCTACATGCAGTGACAGAAAGTAGATGTAAGGTAAGGAAGTAAAAATGTGTCAGATGTGGTCAACTTGAGAGGTGAGAGGAAGCTTCACAGAGGAATTTTCTGGGTGGATATGAGTGTCTCCTGGTGGGGTAGGGCATTTTAGGTAGAAGGAACAACATATGCAAAGGAACAGAGACACAAAATACTGTGGTGTGTTGGAGTAATTTAGTATTGCTTCAGCATAAAAGTTAGGGGAGGGGTGGTAGAGAGAGACATTGTGGGGATAAGTTAGGAGACTAAAGCAGGGATATAGCACAAAGAGCCTTTTATACTCTGCTAAGAAGTATGGACTTTTTTTCTGTGAGTAGTGCTAAGCCATTGAAGAGTTTTAAGAATAGCAGTGACATAGTGTTAAAAACATAAGATCACTCTGGCAGCTGTGTCGAGTGGAGTATTTAGGAGAGTGGAGTTGGTAACACAAGAGAGGGGAATTTTTACAACAGTTCAGGCAGGAAATTATAAAAGCCTGTACAGTTAAGTTGAATATATTGTAGATATTGGGGTACATCCTATTGGTAGTTCTAGAGCAAGAGTCAGCAAACTATGGTCCATGGGCCAAATCTAACCACCAGTTTTTATAAATAAAATTTTTGAGGGGAACATAACCACACCCATTAATTTATATATTGTCTATGACTGCTTTCGTACTATTAATACAATGGCAGAGTTGAGTGCATACAACAGGGAGTACATGGGCCACAAAGCCTAAAATATTTACTGTTTGACCCTTTACAGAAAAAGTTTTGCTATTCTAGACTTTCAGTCCATATCACATTCATCTCTGAATCCCCTCCAGTACTCTAAATAGGTCAAAATACTGAGCACTGAGCACATGGTGGGTGTTCAGTAAATATTTTGTAATGAATAAACTTATACATGTATTCTGAATCAAACTATATCCATAAGTCATAATTTCCCTACTTAATAGGTACAGCTTTCTTATAGCTCAAGAATGCCAATGGTTTGGATATTATGGGAATATAATATTGGGTCCTTTATAGAATGGATCCATTTAGGGCCTATTTTTCATTCTTCCTTCTTGATATAATAAATGTCTTAAGCTAGGCGTGTTGGTTCACACCTATAATCCTAGTACTCTGGGAGGCTGATGTGGGAGGATCGCTTGAACTCATGAGTTCGAGACCAGCCTTAACAAGAGTGAGACCCTGTCTCTACTAAAAATAGAAAGAAATTAGCTGGGCAACTAAAAATATAAAAAATTAACCGGGCATGGTGGCGCATGCCTGTAGTCCCAGTTACTCGGGAGACTGAGGCAGGAGTATTGCTTGAGCTCAGGAGTTTTAGGTTGCTGTGAGCTAAGCTGAAGCCACGGCCCTCTACCCGGGCAAAAGAGTGAGACTCTGTCTCAAAAAAAAAGAAAACGAAAAACAGGAGTTTGAGACAAGAAATGTCTTTATAAAGAGTGATGGTGACTTCAAGAAAAATTACGTAAATGATGTGAAAATTGCTCCCTACCATACTTTCATCTTTCATGTCATTCCACATGAAGGCATCTTTTTTTCTTCTTCTTCTTAAGATACAAGATCTTGCTCTGTCGCCCAGGCTGGAGTGCAGTGGTATGATCATAGCTCACCGTAACCTCGAACTCCTGGGCTCAGACAATCCTCCTGCCTTAGCCTCCAGAGTAGCTAGGATGACAGGCACTGGCCACAGTGACTGGCTAATTATTTAATTTTATAGAGAGAAAGGATCTCACTGTGTTGCCCAGGCTGGTCTCAAACTTCTGGGCTCAAGTGATCCTCTATCTTGGCCTCCAAAAGTATTAGGATTACAGGCATGAGCCTCTGCACCCAGCCTGTGCATCTTGATATGACCCACAATAACTAGTTTACTAGTTATCAGATTTATTGTATTCATTGGCCATGGGATTTTTTCGTTATTTAGTCATTTTTCATCTTTACTATAGTAATCCTAATCCCAAATGTCACTCTAAACCATTGTCTCGATAAGAAACATGCTTTCTCTAAGCATATGTTGGATTTACCTACATACAAGGCAATGAGGAATAGTGGGAAGATAGCAGATTTTTGTAGTCAGAAGGTCTGGTCATGTATTACATTGCTTTCACCTTTTCTTGTTTCTGGCCAAACAAGGGGAAATGCTATTTTTTTTTCTCCACCATTTTTATGAGAGATTTGCAAGTAAGGTGTAGTACAAATAGTTCACATTATTTCCCTCACTTTTTCCATATGGTTGAATTCCGTTTAAGCTTCAGGTAATACATATTGATTTGTGATCAATATCCGTTGGACCAAAGAGATATTGCTAACATTTATTTCCTTTCCTGCCTTTTAAAAAATCTGTATTATCAGAGCTCTTTCTTTAAACACTATTTTTCCAGCAAGCCTCCTCAGCTGAACAAAAGATAGACAGTTTTAGTCTCCCATTGCTGTAGATGTTTATAGCTTTATAAGTAGTGATTGATGAATAACTATTTAATTTGAAATTTATGATTAAAAGTTGTTATAGAACTTTAAAACTTCCACAACATTCATGATGTTCTTCATGTTATAAAAAGCCATTATTAGTGTTATTTTGCTTCCCTTTCAAAAGATTTAGGGCCAAACAAAGATTTAGGTGGACTAAACAAGTCTTTCCTGTTAAACTGTTTTTTTTCAGGCTTTCTGAAACAAGTGGAAAATCTGGTCATGAACACCTGATGTTCATGTCATTTGTACTTGAACCCATGTTTGCGGTCATCTAAAATTCATGTGACATTTGGTTGTTTTTACCTTGAAAAGAATTTCTGCTTCAGGTAGAGAAGATTCGTAACTCAGATTTCTTCTCTAATCTGTTATAAGGAAGTAAATTGAGGACACACACACATATGCTTTCCAACTGAATTAAAGCTCTGAGTTATATTTGCAGAATTTCAATAAAATTATTTCTTATTTTCTGTAGAATTTTTGATTGATTAAGGTCCCTTCTACCCTTAATTTAAGAGGAATGATAAGAACTTTAAAAGGTCAGATTTAAAAGGTTATGAAATTTAAGGGTGACCACTTGATATTTGCTAGTGTTGAAATACAAGTTTATTAGTTTCTGCAGGTATAAGCTGAAAGATGCTGCCTCTTCTATATTGATTAGCCGTTATAAATAAAATGCAGAAAAAAATCTTACTAATTCAAGCAAATGAGAAAAGGTTTTCTGAATGAGTAAAAATTCAGACTTGTAGACCTGAAAATAAGAGCTTATAAATTTTGATAAAATACTAAAAGTTAGCTAAGAGAAGTCCTTAGAAAATTTATTTTAATGACCAAGTAGGAATAATTTACAATTGGAATATTGGTTGCTTACAATAATATAACTTCTTGTTACACTAGAACTTATCAGGAGTACCTGAATACAACCTGTTCTAAAACACCTCTTCCCCTTAGCTATCTTCATTTGCTTTTGATTCATTGGGTAAGTCCTTTCTTAATAATCATTAAAAAGACAAGTTTCATACCAGCTTCAGTCCTGAAACCTGTCATATTTTCTGACAAACATTGAAAGATGGATGAGATTTCTCTTTCATATTACTATATGTTTCCATCATTTGAATTCATGG